AGATATGCTTGCTGAAAAGATGACTCCCTGAGCTCCGAGAACACGGAAATCTTCCTTTGCACAACTCATGTGACTTCTTTGTGTTTGTCATTTGGCTTGGATCAATGAATCCCACACAGTGCATCATTTCTGATAGGAATGGCCAGAAGTGCTAATGTACCAATCCATGCTGTCTGGTGCAGGCCTTTGGGTTTGTCCTTTTGTGATTTGCAAGGTTGACTTCTATTTTCTTGGTAATGGATAAACTCTGAGAGAGCTATTTTTAGCTGGGTATCAACAGACTAAAAACAAGGAAAATTTCCAGCACCCATAGAGAAGCTAATGTATAGGAGGAGACAAGGTTTTAAATCACTATACAATTCAAGTTCCTTTTACATGCTCCCAGGCTGGCAAGTTAACTACTTGTTTTGCATAAGTAAAATATACCTTCCTATCTGTTTTAAATAGTGTCTCCTCTCACCACTTCGACCAGTCTTTGCTTACTAAGTGTCTTGTCCTCTTAAAGTGCTGAAAGGATTGATAAAAGGTTATCAGTTCCAGCCTTTAAGATACAGTAAAGGGCACAATTACATGAAAGAGGTTAACTTTGTTTTCCTCCAGCTCAGTGAAAAAGAGCACAGCAAGGTAAAAGGGCACTGGATTCCCAATGGATATTTTCTGCATCAATACTCTTCTTTCACCTGGGATAGTTTTGCTTTTGAATAGGTTTTTGTTTTCTAATTCAGCTCTTAATTCCAGGCACCCCTACAACATGAGGCACCCAAACTGCCACTGCCACTTCCACCACGACAGCAAAGGGGCACAAAACTCAATCTGTTAGCAGCATCCATGTGACTTCTAGCACACAGGAAAAGCACACAGAGATATGCAGAGCTCTGAGGACTTCGACACAGTTCAGATTGAGAGTAATGCCTGCTTATTTCTAGTCCCTTTTACCACAAACAGTTTTGCTCACAAGTGGCATGTTAAGCACAAACAACTGCTTGAAACCTTTCCAGGGAAATACTTCGAGGCAGCACTAATTTGAAACACCAGAGATCAGCTCAAAATGAACCTGAACACCTGTGTAGAAATCCTACACCTGGCTCTTTCTCCTTATGTTGCTCAGAGTCAGTCATCTGCAATTTGTCTCAGGCAACCATCCAGAAGATAGGGACAGCTATCCAACTCCTACCACAGCCAGGGATTACTGGTGCTGATGAAGTACCTTAAAAGCACATACCTCAAGAAGTGGAATCTTAGTCTGTTATTAACTCATCCGTTGGCCTAGAGCATCGCATTGACATTCTTTGTTACCTTCAGTGAAACGGTTGGAGGCAAGAGGCTTCTGAGGGACGTACCAGCCACAGGCCCTGTGTGAGAACACCGACTCCTTCCAGAGCAGGGCAGTCCATCAGTTTCCCTTCTGTAAACATGAGGAAAGGGAGAGTGTAAGTGGACACTGCATAGCCAAGAGAGCCCCATGATTTGCCTGCAACCCCTCCACTTCCCATCTCTTCAAAGGCAGTGAGAAAAACTGCTTACGTGCTTCGGCACCTCTGAAGGATACGCTGCTGACCCACAAGCACCAACGCCCGCTCTAACTAACTGTACTGATGCCTGCGTGTATCACTAAAAGAAGGGCTTTTCCATTAAAAGCGACAACAAAAAAGAGCACTATCACAAAAGACGGGCATTGGGCTGCCCCGCTCCGCGGCAACACAGCCCCGCCGGCCCTGACGAGAGCTCTGCAACCGCCGCGCTGCCCGGGCCGCCTCGCCCGGCTCTACCCGAGCAAAGCCTCTCCCGACCGGCGGCTCGGCTCGGCCCTGCCCGCTGCCCTCCGAAATAATTCGTGCCGTAGCCAGCAGATGTCAGCAAGCGATAACAAAACACAGGCCGAGCCTCGCAGAGGGCGAATTTGGGGTGGTCCGCACATAAACACAACCGGAGAAGGCACCTGGACCCCTCCGCCCCATCCTCCCCATAGCGGGCAGGCGGCCCCTGCGCTGCTCGGAGGCTTCGAGGGGTGCCATGGCCACGGTGCGCTCATGGGACACGCAGCCTCAGAGGAGAGCGAGCAATGAGGTGTGCTCCCACCTGCGGCATTGCAACCCAGGGAACGAGCTGCGCCCGCCCCCAGCCACCTCCCAGCTGCTTTCTGTTTGCTTTATCCCCTCCTAAAAACCGCCTTGCAATGAGGGGAGCTGCCCTGAGCCCAACATGGGGACACCTGGGGAAGCAGGGCACAAAAGCACCAGGTGAGAGGGTCCAGGTGAAAATGATGTTGCTGTTGGAGTGAGTCAGGAGGAGGCTGTGAAGGAGGGGCTGAGAGAGCTGGGCTGGGTCAGCCTGGAGAGGAGAAGGTTCTTTAAAGGGAGACCTCAGAGCAGCTCCAGTGCCTAAAGGGGCTGCGGGAAACCTGGAGAGGGGCTTTGGACAAGGACCTGTAGGGACAGGCCAAGGGGAATGGCTTTAACCTGCCAGAGGGGAGACCGAGATGAGCTCTTAGGCAGAAGTTCTTCCCTGTGAGGGTGCTGAGGCGCTGGCACAGGGTGCCCAGAGAAGCTGTGGCTGCCCCATCCCTGGCAGTGTTCAAGGCCAGGTTGGACACAGGGGCTTGGAGCAATCTGCTCTAGTGGAAGGTGTCCCTGCCTGTGGCAGGGGTTGGAGCTGGTCCTTTCCAACCCAAACCATTCTATGATCTCCTCTAATAAATGAAATGTGCTCAAAGTGCCAGTGCTTTGGAGTGTTCTCTGGCAGCACTTTTTTGTAGTATGTGAACAGCCATTATGTCCCTGGACAAACTACTGTTAAGAAGGGCAAACAAGAAAACCCCAAACTGCAAAGCTCTATCCCAGAACTCTTGCCACATATATTCAAGAATCATCAAGTGGCAAAATAGCACTGCAGCAATCCCCATTTAGTGGTGTCTGTATCAATGTAGCATGCTCTTATACAGTATTAGATTTTAATATAGCCACAGCCAGAAGTGGAAGTGGGAATGCATTCAACTGAGTATCATACTGATCCTCTGCAAAACACCCAACGCTTTACAAAACCACTAATTACCATCAGCAGCAAGTTTCATACCAGGACTTTATACCAGCTGCTAAGAGTAGTTCAGTTCTTAGCGTGGTTTTAGTGCCCCAGGTAGTAAATGTGAGCAGGATCCCAGACCAACATCCTGCGAGTTGTCTGCTGACTGCTAACTCTGTTCTGGCCTCACCAGCAGAAAGAAGGGTGAGGTAGCAAATGTTAATTCTTTTTGCACTTCTGGGTGACCAATGCATCCCTTCATCACAGAAACTGAAGCCATGTAAGCGCTGACAAGGCATGTGGAAGATTGCTGTACATTTGCTAGGATTCTAAAGTAAAGCCTTGCAACTAAGCTTGGAGTAATCTCTGCACTGAGCTCTGCAGGCCTTCAGGAAAGCAGAATCAAGTCCAGTGTCCTGGAGCCTGCAGCTGAAGTTTCAAGTGAAACACTGAATCCTGGAGGCAGACAGCACGCACCAAGAGGTAGTGGTGGGTTTAAATCTTCTTTGCGGCTCTTTGGAAGAATACCTACTTCCCTCACTTGGGGCCACACATAATTGTGTTACTCAGATTTCCCTCCTCTATGGAAAGGCTGGGAAGCATCTGATTAAAGCAATCTGATTACTGAAGTATCTGATTTTAAAAAGGAAGGAAGGATTTTTTCTAAATACAAATAAAAGGCATCCAAGTGGCATCATATGAGGATCTGATCTTGCACCTTTAAAATTGTCTAACTTGTTTTCTTCATATTGGCTTTTCAAGTCTCAGCTCTCAATGAAGAAATCTTTCTGCCGTAGCTCAACCCTCTGATTTCACTGAGCCTGGGTGTGTGAGCTGGATAACTTACATTTTTTGGCCCCACTTTAAAACTCTTTATTTCAGGCAGTTTGGAATTATCTGAGCCCGAAAATGGACTGGAATTTACACAGAAAAAAAAAAAATGGTATTTTTCATACAAGTATGCCAAGGGCTTTGCCAGTTCTGCCCCAGCTGTCCAAATTGTCACCAAGCAAAGAAAATACCAGCCCCAAAGGAATTGCTCCTTGACATTTATGGCCTGCTAAAGTGAAGACCAAACCCTCCTGCCTGCCCTCCCGGGAAGTTGCTCAGGCAGGGAGCACTTCCTCTGTGCTTTAATCAATGAAGAAGGTGAACGTGGATTGGAATGAGAATGTTGAAATTCATCAGTGAAATTTCTAGATGATGTCAGGAAGTTATAGCAAATTCCCTAACGTATGGAAGGAATACAGGGCAAACAGACAATGTGACTAAAGGGGTCGGTCATGATTTAGCAATACCTGTTGCACTGGATTTAAGTCCATCCAGATGAACAAGAAAGTCTAAAACACAGGTTGGCTTAAAGAAGCACCAGAAAGATCTAAAATTTCAGCAGTAAAGGATGTAAAACCATTGCTGAATAAGATTTATAAGAGTTGGAAAGCAAAATCAGGTTTAAAGACCAATTCATAGTATTTTAAATCTTACTATTAATGGAGGGAGCTAATTCTTCAGGCTCCCACGTGTCCGTGGTGCACTACTAAAAAAGTAACCCCAAGTCAGAAGGTATCACTAACATTAATATTTACCTCACTAAAACAAGGCAGAGCAGGTTTCCACAGAGGCCAGTTTTTAACTTTGTGCTTTCTTCTATGCTCAATTGCTATTGCTACAAACACCCCAACAAAACACACAACCAAGGATGTTTGCACAGGTGCAGCTGTGTTTGTTATTCCAGGGTTTTTCCCAAAAGCTGCAGCCCAGAGGAGTGGATACAGGTGCTGGGGGTTGGCAGAGACCAAGAGCCACAGCACGGTACCTGTCATCAGCCCTCCTCATCTCCTGCCCCTTATCTTCCTTTGAAACACCTCTGTGATGTTGGACTATTTATCACAAAACTTAGCGAGGGTGGCTGTAATCTGAGGGGCTTTCTGGTGCCAATATGATGCCTAGGGTTTCCATAGGGTTCAGACCCAGTTCTTATTTGCTGTAAACTTCCATGTGTACTTGCAGGGTTAAGAAGGTGGTGTGGTTGCATGACTGAACAGAGAGGCATTTAAACACATGCTTAAATGATTTGTGGAACTGAGGCCTGGAAACCCCCCAGTTTCTCCTCAGCCTGAAGGAAGAATCAACAGATGACATACGAAGTTGGTCATGGAGTTCAGAGAATTGCCTTCCCCTCCCTGAAAGGAAATTTGGAGAAGAGGAAAAAAAAGAAGAGAAAAACAACCCCAAACCTCTCCTCTAGCACTTCATTTTTACAGAAATGTCCCCGGTTTCCAGAGGAGTTTAACTTTTTTTCCAGTATCCACCAGAATAACAATCAAAACACCAGCACAGATGCAATGTCAGAGGCGATGTTCTGACCAAGCAGGAAACAACCTTCACAGTCCAGCAGGAAGAAGGTCAGATCATCTTGCCCCAATGCCACTGTAAGAACTCTGCTTGGATGTGTAAACTTTCCTTGTCCCGTGGCTGCTCTTCTCTCAGCATGTGGACATGGACCAATCTCAACCAGAATTGCTCCGAACCCAACAAATGCCTGGCATAATACTGCAGAATGTCCTTTTCATTCTTTCTATACATTTTATTCTTAGCATTCTCCCTGTCTTTTGGCTTAAAGGTCATGTTCTTCCTCCTTTAACTACAGATATAACCCCACACTATGAGTTATTTGTCTAGTCCAGAATGTATCAAATGTTTTTTCAGTGGGATTTTTCTTAGCCAGGTTGGACAGGGCTTGGAGCAACCTGCTCTAGTGGAAGGTGTCCCTGCCCGTGGCAGGGGTTGGAACTGAATGATCTTAAGGTCCTTTCCAACCCAAATCATTCTGTGATTGTGTTATTTTAGATACTAGGAGGAAGAGCAGCACAGTCTCCAAATGCACCATTCAGCATCTGACAGTTCTTTCTAACTTACTATTCTCTATTCACACTATTTAGGTCTTTCACTGTTCCTTTCTTTGTGTTGTCAGATTTCTCTTTTGATGACTGAATTATCTCTAATGGAAAGTTCTTTCAGCTGTTTTCATGACTCCTGCTCTATTTTTTTTTTCCAGACAAAAGAAGGGTACGTCTCAGCTGCTGATGCACAGTTCCCAACAGCCTATTATGTCCATGAAAACAGGCATAGGGCCCTTTATCTGTGGAAAGGGAGACACCCATGTGTTTCTTCAGTTTTTTCCAAGGATTCCCAGAAGTCTATGATCACCTCTATTCTTCTCACCTCCCTCTGAGCACACTGGAGTCATCCAGGCCCCAAAACGCAGTTCAGGAAGGGTGAGTACAAGTCCTTCAGGAATCCAAATCCAGCAGTCAGACAGTGCTGATGGCAAATAATTCAGTGTGCCATAAGGCATGAAGTACATTTTAGTGGGAATCCTTCAGAAACATGAACGCCAAAGGGCTACATTCCTGTCTTCCATCAGGTGCTATACGTTGCTACCAAATGGATAGAGGTATTGGAGTTGCTATTTCAGTCTTGATACTGTTCACCCTTCTTAGATTTGGTCATGCTAAGCAGCAATCCAAATATCTTTTGGGCTATGTTTTAGGAAGTAGTGCAGGTTCAGCATACGCTTTTGTTTCTAAAACAGGAAGAAAAATTATTCTTTGCAATACCTGGGATTCCACTGCAAGGGAATGCTTGAGGAATCCTGATATTCAAGAGGAGGGTAAGAGTTCTGAAGAACTGGCAATGTGGCTAGACTGAAGCAGGATCAAAGAGGAAAGATATCAACTCTCTGAGACACTGAGGTTTATATCATAAACCTGAGATAAACTGCAATTTACCTAAAGGTCTGAAGGAAAAACGAATAACCCACTTAGAGTAAAGCTGATTCTTTTATCCCATGTCAAGCCTAGTGAGTTCTGTGATTCCTGAACAGCTATTTTATCTGCATTTAGGAAAAAAAAAATTATAATGTCATATAGCAAATTAACATTTGAAATTTTGAAGACAACTTTTCTATGATTGTATTGTTTATACCATCTCATACAGCTTTAAAATTAGCAAAATTGGAGTGAAATATAAGTAGCTACATTAGGCTATTACCATGCGGCTGTCTAAAGATTACAAATGAAGGTAGAACATAGCCATAAAGTTAGAAAAATACAGATTACAGACTCATTCTTGTAGAGAACACTCTCAGTTTCTACAAATTTCATTAAGGACTAGATTGTGATACTTGATTGACACTTACCCCTGTCAAGTGATGTCTTAATACTTCTTTCCAATGGGCTAACTCAAAGAATTAAGTATTATTCAACTTGAGAAAGGATCATAATCTAACCTTAAAACCTGAATGCTCTTAATGCACAGAAGCACCAGGCTTATTGCTGGTAAAATTAATGTTAGACTTTTGAGACGAATAATATTCATTGTTTTCCACAAAGTATATTTTCTACCAAAAATCATACAAGAGCTTGCTTAACTTATGCTAAATCCTCTGGGGGAAGGGAGAATAGCTCCAGTTTCACTCCTAAGTGTCTGTTCCATTTAAAGGATATTAGCTAGCCAAATGAAAAATGCATGAATCAATCAGCAACAAGGACCCTGATCTCTGAATGAGACAATGCTGAGCTTTGAGATTTATGGTCTTGCTTCCAGAATTCCATTATTTGGAGGAACAACAACAATAACAATGGGAGATGACATCAGAATAGTTAGTGTTCTTCTTTTCCTTTCTTTTCCTGTTGATCACAAGATGCTGACTTCTGTGTCAGTCACCTCTGTCAAATGAGTAAACGTTTGGGGCTTTAAAAGATCACCATGTTCTCAGTTCAAAATAAAATGAGACTGTCTTGAATGGAAGAGCATTATTGCTGCTTGCATTTTGCACTGCTAATTAGTTCAGCCACAAAGCAATTACCTATTTCTTACTTTTCTCCTGTATTTCTTCTGCAGGCAGAGCTCCTTTTGATTTTTACACATAGAAAATATATTGTTGGAAGTTATATTGCACTGATGTAGGGCAGAGAAGGATTTCATTCTTACCACTTGTGATTCTTGTTTTCCGTTTCCCTGGACAACTGCAGAACACGTAATAGAGTTGCCCCTTAACTTTATGATATTAACTTTGGGATATGTACAGTGGGTGAAGCTCCTCCAGACACTGTCTGCCTGGCAAGACCTGCCTAGCAGGCTTAATCTCTTTCTGCCATACTGCCAAAAGTGAGAGAAGGTAACAAGGGGGTAGATTTACTGGAGGAGGCAAGAGGGACTCACATTAACAGTGGCTGGACATGGGGATACTCTCACATAGCGGGATATACTTGTGACCATATAGCTCTGGGGTGTCCTTGCCCATTCAGGTTGGAGTTGTGCATCTTATTAATGAGAAGTAAATCCTGTTTCAACCTGATTGCACAAAGTATGTGGTGAACCAGCAGAGCATAGATGGGGCCTTTTGTAGAGTCCAGGTCCAGACCAAACTCTGGATTAAGAAAATAACAAGCAAGCTCTTATGCCACCTTGAATATCATCAAAACACTCTGGTTCCATGTATGGGTAGAGATAAAGACTGGATGGAAATACTAAGAGGATAATATGTTCAACATGTAGATTATTAGCAGCCATTTCTAACACTAGTTCTGATACTCCTTTTAGCATGCAGCCATATAGATATATATGCACACACATTTCTGGTACGAGAAATAGGCAAAAGTAGCTTATTGTGAAAAGATATGCGTTCACTTGAAAATGGCAGCAAAGATCTGATGCAAATCCAGCCCTAAACTCCCCTCAGACTAGGGGATATTTGAATTTGGGCTTTGTTCAGTGCCTTATCTTGCATGAATGGCTCCTCTCAGGGGTTGTATCCCTTCTGCAAACATCATGGCACAGCTCAGCCAGTGAGGCGGGAAGGAAGGTTAAAGGATGTATCAGAGATAGGGATGCTCTTCCTCCCTTACTTCAGCAAGTACAGGTTATCAAAACCCTTGATGTAATCTTAAAATGCATCGAGATAACCAGCTAAACCTTCCCCTGATTGCATGGTCCTCATTTGGGATGACAGTTTAATACAGAATATATCATCTTGCATAGAAAAATATTAGATCTAATATTTTTTTTAAAATCAGATGTTGTCCATTTTGTATACTTTAAATGAGTACCTATTATTTATTAGCATGCTTGCTTAACAAGAAAATTCTTGTGTTTTCAGAGTTCACTTGCTCCTGCTGTTTATAAGAGCAGTTTGCTGAGACCAGCAGTCCTCCAGCTTTTCAGGCCATTTATTTCAGACAAACCAACCTTTCCATGTCTGGCTACTGCTGCTGTGCTTAGTGATGTGGCCATATAGAAGGCATTTCAATGTAGGACATGATGGCATTGTTTGCTGGTGGCCAGTCGATGATTCAGTGCCATTTCTAGGAAAAGCAAGTAATGGGCAAACCCTCCTGTGTATCTCAGATGTGAATCATGTTTTGGAGAGAGTTAAGGGTAAGGGAAAGGATTACACATGAGCTCAAAATGAATCTGTAACCTTAAAGAAAAGCATGCCCATGCTTTGTGGCCGTGAGGAATTAGAAGGTTTGTACAGTTTGGGAATCAAAACACAACTCAGTATAAGGGGAAACAGTAATTGTAAGCAGGAACTACAAGTCCCATTTTGTAGGAAATTCTGTCTCTTTGAAAGCGTTTTCTCTATTCTGAAAAAGAATAAAATTTTCTTCTCAAGTTTTCCTTGAAGTAAAATGATGACATAAAAAAGGTGTTTAAAATTTACCCAAATGCTTTTGTGTTGACTTTGAAAATTTTGAAACGCTTGAATTAAGACCCATTTTGAAATGCAAATGTAACATCTTTATTTCCAGCAGGTATTTTTCACCTGATGAAATATGAAAATATGAAATCGTTTTCATATTTTTTGTAATCAGCTTTCCAGGAGTTAACATTTGCCATACAGTTTTCTGTTTATTTCTAAAATTTCCAGACAGGCAGGGAAAATAACTGGGAACAGTTACTGCATAGCTTTTAAAACACACCCCACTGCAGCAGATAGCTACAAATATGCTAAGCCTTTGCCAGTGCTATTCTAACCTGGTCTCAGCACAAAGTCTCTTTACCTGCCTTTGCTGCTCTGAATGCTTTTCCAGACAGGTAATGTGAAAGATGGTCCTGTTGATGATGCTCTTTTATTTATCAACGGATTTATGCTGCACAAATAAAATTAAAACAAAAGATAATGTGACTTCCAGAGAAATCTGGAGATCTAAAGTTAGGTTTCCCATTTTAGCAACATATTGAACTAACTTATAATGGCTTTTGTTTTAGCTAAGAGCATCACCCAATTTCCAGCCTGGTTACAGCTGCAGGAAAAGACTGGCAGCTAACATAGTAATGAGTCAGTATCTATTGAGATTCACTCATTACTATTAATTTCCCCGTTGCTTCCAACCGATTCAGGAACTACTTATGGAAATTCTTCTTCTTCTGTCTTACTGAAATCCAGCACTGTTGCTGTCAAAGCTGCCAACAGGCGCAGCAATGCTACTGTGATAAAATAAGTCCAATTCTATCCCAATCTTGCTTTCCTAGGAAGAACAGAACTCATTAAATAATTATCAACTGTGACAAGAAAGTAGCTGGCCAAACACTTGCTGCTAATCTAGGCATGACAGCAGGACTATACCTTTCAAAGCAGTAATTAGCTAGATGAACAACAACATAAGTACCAGACAATGACATGGAAAGGACTGTCCCTAAAGGACAGATTTATTATACGTAGGGTTTAGTGTTTGTGTGACTTATGAATGTTATTTTGCAGTATACAATTACACTTCTCTTCTGCTACCTTACTCTTTTGTTTTCTGCACAGTTTATGGAAGTGGGCAGAGAGAAAATCAGGAGCTGAAGCCATACGAGAGCAGGTGATGGAAGCTCTGCAACACCTTCCTTATGTTCATGAAATGGGGGGGCTGCATAGATCTCACAGTAGAACACTATCAGCCTGCACCCCATCCTGTGGGAATAAGAAATCCAGTACTTGCACCCTGCCCTCATTTTATGCTTGGTCTGATACTCACCTAGTGTTTATAGGTCAGGTCTAGTAATCATTATTACTTTCCTTTCTCGACAGGGCAGGTTCTCAGTTGGTGTAAATTGGTGTAAGTGGAATAATATGGATTTATCCACAGCATACACTAAACCAGCAGTCAGCACCAGTGCTAGAGATAATGTTCTATCAGCTAATATAAATCACAAGCCCAGACTGCTACCATTGAACGTAAAGGGCAGGACTACAAGTGTACCTACAGCCGATGCTGGAATTACACGCAGCCAAACTTGTTTTCAATTGAACTGTTCAAGTGCTTAAAGTTAAGCATACACATAAGTGTTTGCAGGATTAAAGCGTCCGTTTGGAATGACAGAGTAAATCCAAATGGAGATGGATTAGCTAGCAGAGGGCAGGTGAGGTGGTCAAAGGCACACGCAGTTTATCATATGGCTCTGTAATTTACTACATGATTATCACAACTACATATTTGGTGTGGGGATATAGATATACATGCACACATGTATACACAGAGCCAAACTTTTTTGGCAAGGGGGCCACACAGTCATTTCAAATTGAGACTCTGGGCTGCACTTGTTCCAGGACTGCTTGTCTGTTGCCAACACACTGAAGCGCCTCAGGCTTCAGTCTGATTCTTTGTTTGCTTGCCCATTAAAGTTCTTATCCCACACTCCCTTTTGGCAGAAAATGTTGTTATTTCTGCTTTATGCTGGCCTAGGCCCTTCTCCTGCCTGTGTTCCTATTAACCTATAGTAGTGACAGCCAGGAGCAAACTGAAGCAGCTGGTTGGAGACGCTACTATCAGACTGCGAAACAGCTGTTGTGCAGAGGGGCCACCCCGAAAACTTCTCTTACAGCACTGCTGGGCTGGATTTTGGCCATTGCAGACAGGGGATTGGGAAAAGAGGTACTTTCATTTGCAAATATTTAATTGCTGAAAAATGTAGGGGTGTGTGCGGCATCTTTATTGGATGTCACATAGAAGTAATGCTTTCCAGGTATTTTGCTGGCGCTTGGTGTCATTGTCATCTCGCTGCCAGCATGCAGTGGCCCCATGTTGCAACTCAGTGTGAAACTGATTTCCAATTTTTCTGTTTAAATTAATATTTACCAGTTGGTTGTTTTTGGCAGACTTTTATTGATAGCATTGATTCAAGAAGAATAGCCAAATTCAGCTCTTGGTTACAGCAGTGTGACATCCGGAGTTAACTCCACTTCTACCAATGTTACCAAGAGACAAATTCCTTCTTCTGTCTTTTTGTAGCATGACATTTGCTCCATCCTTACCTATAGATATGAGCTGGGCTGCAGCTTTAAGTTTGGAAAAATTGATTATCGCTCTGAAATGCACTGATTGGGTACTTCTCCAAGACACTTAATAGTACGTGCATCTTAACCTTCAGGAACCATTCACTTCAGAATACCATTATTATGTGCAGAAATAACTCTTAGGAAAGCAGCATAAATTAGGCTTTCACTATCAGCTAAAAAAAAATAATTATTTGAATGCTTTTGCATCCATCGTCATTCAGGTGAATTAATTACTTCAGAGTTATTTCAGCTATTCTCAACTAAAGACGGAGCAGAACACTGACCAAGGACAAGGACCTACACTGGGATTTGAATGAACTCAGAGCAAGTGAGATACTTGATGCAGCTGCAGAGTTTTCTGCATGTCCCACTGTGTGGTGGGGGCATGTTGCTTCCTGATCTCTGTAAGTGCACAACAGTCCACACTGCCTGGACTGAATCCACTCCATGTGATATTGATACAAGTAAATACCTCAGCTTTTTCTATGGAAAAGCTGTAAAACTGCATGACAATGATGGTGCAATTGGCATGTGAGCCTGAGCACTGTTGTGTTGAACTCACATTAAGAGCTGTACTTCGAACCACACTCCTGTTTGTCATCTTAAGGGTGGGAAATTGCTGAAAGAACAAAGTCAGC